GCACGCTGGCTAATACGTTACAATATGCACTTATCAATGTAAACTTTTCTTCCCATTTTATTTTATTTTTCTCGTATTCATTGTCAATCTTTAAGTAACAATAATTTATTATATCAGAAAGCAATTTACACTGTGATTTTTGGGAAGATACATTTACTGATCAGATGCAAAGGTTCATTCATAGTTGCCTCTCAGGATCATTAGGAAACTAAATGAAACCACAATAGAGATGAATTTCCAGGTACAACTATGTATTTGAAATATGTCCACAAACGATTTCTTTTAAGAAAATTCATTTAAAATTTATTTTTGCAGCTTGCAATAGGTAACTTCACTTGGTATCCAAACCTGAGTATGCAGGTTTATAAGTTAAATGAGGTAACCACTACATTGTCATGACGGTTGGACAATACAGATTGCCAGATTCATCCATAAAAGAAATTCCTTTTTTTTGAAATTTTTAATGAAAATAGCACTGATGTCATTGAATTTGGTATATTGTGCTCGGCTTTGCATATTTGTGGAAAGTTGTCACAATTTCTTTCAAAGTTATGAGAAAATTATTAAAAGTCAGAAAAAACGGTTCACAAAATGAATTAAATATCAAATATTGAAGATTATATGGTTTTAAGAAAGAAATATCAAGGTTTAACATTGAAGAGAAGGACAGATTTTAACTACTGGTTGAACTTTTCCAATTTTTGAAATTTCAAGGTATCAATAAAAAAAAGGGATTTACACTATTCTTATCTATGCATTTTGCTCTTGAAAGCACTTAAAGAAAAAATTTTGAGTCATTTTGAAGAAAATTTTGAAATAGTGCAAATCACTTCATATAATATACCACAAAATTTATAAGATGTTTCAAATTCACAGGCTGAGATATTATGAGTTTGACAAAATTAATCACATAATAAACATTGAGAGGGAAAAATCTAATTTATGATTCATATATAAGTGTTTCATAGACCCATGTTTTTTGAAGAAAAACATGTATAAGAAGACAAAAACAATCATATTTTTCAAGGGCCTTAAAAAATGTATTTTAAAGAAAATCTTGATGCTGCTATTAATTTTTGACAGAATTTCACTATTTTATGTATACTGTATATATAAGGAAGTAAAATATTTTTTAACATTAGAATTGATACCCCACTGCCAACATAATCACGCATAACACAGCCTCTCCCCATTCAAACATTATGTACTTTAGGTGTTGCATCAGAGAGAGTCACAAGCCACAAAAGGTAATTTTACAGGAGAGTCATTTTTAACTTTGGCTTATTTCTAAACTAAGTGATTTCAAATGAATATTGCAAATTTTTCCTGAAATTTTCTGGATCGTTTTCTGAAACATCTGAGAGAGGCATAATGAAATATAATAACTTAAGTTCCATGTTCTATCAACAATGTGAATACATGAAGATGGTCTGGGAGGTGGCTTCTGATTATCTCTCCGGAAAAAAAAAAATTAAAAACTTATTCCTCAGTTAGAAGCATTTATTTTAAAACATGAAACTTAGCTGAGTTAATAATTAATATTTTATCAGATTATAAAACAGTTTGACCTATTATAATGAAATGTTTATATTATGTAATCTTGTACCAATTTTAATGTAATCATCATAACAGCAGAGAAAAAATAAAGTAATAGCATTATTGGAAACTAAGAAATGGCAGAAGATTGTCTCTTCTTTCACAAATTTTCATCCACCAATTCTAATTCGAAGTCAACTTCGAAGAATATCTAATGAGCTGCCAGAACATAATTCAAGAATAACATTACATCATTTACATTTTTATTGTTTATTATCAATGTTTTTGTATTTCTCATGGAAGTTGAATGGGTTTCCAATAGAATATTGGAATTTGTAGATAATAACTTCTGTGTAGTGATTAATTTTGTGACATTAGGTTTTGAGTAAGTTTGAAAATATCAGGTTTGTCCTGCTTGAACAATTTTGTATCAGTAATCAGATGCGTGTAAGCATCAGACAAAAGTACCCACCTGTTATTACATAGGCAATCATCGTTTGGATAATGCCAGTCTGTAAGCATTGGTCATTTTAAAAATATTTTCTCTCCATCTCAGTAACCTCCATCAGTACCAAATATCAGACATGATATATTTTTTCAGGTGGAAATGGGATTGGATACTTCAAGATCTATATCTATAAACCTTAAACTATGTCCTCTTAGAAGCACAGGTTTAGGAAATTTCAGCCGAGGTTGACAACCCTCCCATGTCGGCCCCAACCCTCCAGCCATACACCCATGTTGGTAACTACACAATGCATTTAAGACATGGCTCACATATGAATCCAGTAGTTCGGAATAAATGTTTCTACTTCTTTCTACCATTTACAAAGTAGTCTATTACTGTGTACTTGTACAAACCAATGAGTGATAGACAAATTTTCCACATTCTGCGAATGCTTGCTAGAGAGTAATGACATAGACCTATTTTTATTTTGTTCCTTGCGGTTATCAGTTGAAATGTGAAGATGTTCTGCATTTGGATTGGAGATCTGCAAGTAGATTTTATTAAACATCTTTCTATCTCATCTACTCCTGGCTTGGATATCACCCAATTTTTTTCCAGATCCAACATCTGCCATTTGTTAGAAATGTATCATCTCTGTCACTTTCGTTAGTTATTTCTTCTTCACCTTCACTATTGTGTGCAACACTTCTGTCTTGGTGTTGCCTCATTAGTTGCTTGTGACTATCTCTCAGGGAAAAAGCAGAATTGAGAGATATGGATAATAACTCTGCATTATAATTTCACATCCATCAAAAGGCAGCAAATAGGTTAGCGATCTCTAGTGATCAACTATTGATCTGTGGCAATATCTCAAATTTCATGGAAGTGTGATATGTGAGTATCTCTGATGCAACACCTCAATTTATCTACATAGATATCCTTCCTCTTCTTCACTTCACAGGTTATGGAGATTCTCTGTTCTGGCTTCATAACACCACCTCTGTCATGGACAGCCTTTGTCCCTTCTTCCCCTTGGTCTGTACAGAAAGGCATGTCGCACACTTTCATGAGACATTCTTCCTAAGTGCTGTATCCACCGTGATCTGTGTTCAGTTATATTTTCATTGATAGAAAATATATTAAGTTCCTGTCTATATCTTCATTTTTTATTTTATCCATTAGGGTGAAGCGGTTTACTCTTGAGAGGAATTTCATTTCACAGGCTTGTATCTTTATATTTTATCTTGTTTTCTTATTTTTAATGATTCACACTCATAAAGCTGCTGTGCTACTGCCATGACTATATAAAATTTTAACAGTGTCTCTTTTCTAGTTTTATTGCAAGGTATTTATTTATTGTTACGCAAGTATGTTGGAAACATAATTTTGTTTTCATATCATCACTGTAGTCATATGTAATATCACAGCCGTAATTATTAAAATGTTTTATCTGTTCAATAACTTTATCTTCTATTATTATTTTATTTCTGATAGGATATTTGTCTCTGAATGCCATCTCTTTAATTTTAGAGATGGATATTGGGAGACAATATGGTTTGCATATTCTATTTAGCTAGTACAAGGACTTTTGCAGACTTATTTCGTTCTCTTCTATAATTATATGGTCATCCACATACAGAAGTGATTGTAGAGGTGTTATTGGACTTACTCAAATACTTGGTGTACTTAAAATTTTCCATTCTCTTAGAATGTTGACAATAATAAACAAGGTGAGGGACAAGCTGCACCCTTGTCTTACACCTCTGTTTTCTTTCTAACTCTTCTAGGATTTTGTTCCCAACTTGTAAATTAATACTTGTTCTGTGATAGAAGGATTTAATAACTTCTATCAAGTAGAAAGGATGGTCTCTTTTTCGAAGATTGACAGAGAAGTTCATAACTAACTCTATCAAATGCTTTCTCATAAGCTCTCAAAAGCTATGTGGGCTTCATGTCTCTTTTCAATTATTTGGTTTACGGTAAACACATTGTCTGTACATGATCTTCCTTCCTTGAAGCCGCTTTGTTCTTCCAATAGCAGTGTATCTGAGATTGTGGTGAGCCTTTTCTTTATTATTTTTGTGTAAACTTCATAAGCTATAGTCAACAGGCTTATTCCTTTGTAATTCTATGGCTGGCTTCTACTTTCTTAAAAAGAGAGATGACTTTTGCTTACTTATCAGAAATTTGGCATTTTCTCCTACAGTTATTGAATAGTTCAAGAAGTCTGTTCTTCAGTTTTTCACCTCCATAGTTTAGCAGTTCTGCACTGATACCATCTGCCACAGGAGCTTTCCTATTTTTCATGCTTGACAGTACATATTCCATTTCATGTTTGCTCAAATAGCTATCGGAAGTTGTTGTATTGTGACTTATCTTCAACTATTACAGTTGGGTCATATAGGAGATCTTTATAATATTTTATCCAGTCATCTTTCTTTATAACATTTAGTTCTGCTCTGTCCTTTTCCTCTGATTTTAAATGTTTCATGACCTTGTAAGCCAGATTCTGCCTACCATGGACATCATTTTCAATTGTTCTGAGGAAAAGGTCCAGACAATTCCTGGCAAGCTCTTTTCACTAATATAGATAAGATATCCTCTTATCTGAAATTCAAAACTATAATTGCTACTCTTTTTTACTTACTCATCAGATGTATAATATTTATGGATAGATCACAAAATTTCAGCAAATTAATCCTACAGCTACACAAAATCCTGCAGCATTAATCAACAGATGAGAAACACCTTCTCTTACTTTTTTCATAAGTGTATTGTACATGGACTTCCTTAAAATACCACAGGTTTCAATGCATGTTATGATTGTATAAGAGTATGAAATATAATTATGAAATGTATATCTTGTAATGAAAATTGATTTAAAAAGTAAAATGTGAATACAGTAGAATACCAGTCATCTGAAGTCATAGATTTTTTTTTATATATGGAACTCTTATTAAGAGGAAAATGCAAATATGTGTTCTCTACGATTACACTGCTCAATAAGAAAAATTAAAAAGAATGTCCACTTGCCAGGATTTTGCTTTGAATTCACAGTAAATCTGGAATGCTGAATCTAAATATGTCATGGTTTCATTGAATTGACTCTAGTTTTAATGCTACAAATGTTGTAATGAATTATGCTATCACAAAACTCACAGCACTTAATGCAAATATTTAACTATACGTAAACACTGTTGTTTTTCATTTTACACATTGGATATCACATAATTTTCAGGATGCTTTAATTGATCTTCATCTTATTAATCTCCTCTTCTCTTGTTACAAAACGAGGTCTTCAGGAAGATGTTTGAACAACCCTAATATATTTTGCTATATTTGTGGGGAAAATCCGCAATAAAAGTAGATAAATATTACAAACTGTACAGCAAAAAACAACAAATTAAGCACATTTTAAAATAAAATTGGGTGATCAAGATAAGTCATGGGCTCCCCATATGGTATGCAAAATTCGTGTCAGTGCAAAACTGGAAAACTGAAGAGTTAAAATCATCGGTGTACCAATGAAAACGAAAGCCCAAGAATCGTCATGAATATTGTTACTTTTGGGCTGTAAACATCAAAGGGTTTCATTGTTACAACAAAAAGAACTGAGATTACCATAATTTGGCGATCTGATGTTCCCATACCAGTGTTCACCACGTTTCCTGGAATACCTGTGCCTGATAATGATATACAGATTCTGAGGTGTGATTCAGGTGTTAGCAGTGGTAGTGAATAGAATGGAAGTGTTGCTAAAAAAGAGCAATTCTCCCAAGATATCATTTATTTAATACGTTTACCAAAATATTGCAAAGATAAGCAGCTGGTCTTTTAGCATCCAGTCTAAAAGAAAAGAAATGTCACCAGAAGCAAAAATAACAATTTACAGGACAAGAGGCAAAACTACCATATTTCAGTGAAAATGGAGACTTCATGTACTGTTCTAACATTCCTATAGTACTTGTTAAAATGGGTGTTTCAGAATATTGACCCAAAGACTGGCAACTTTTCATCGACAGTTGAATTCGAAGTTTAAAGGGTGTTTTACTAGACATAGCATCTGCTATTCATCAATCTCAATTTGTCACTCAATAAAAATTAAAGAAGAATATGATAATATCAAAATGGCCTTACAAAACCTTTGCTATGATGACCATTAATGGTCTATATGAGTAATTTCAAAATGGTGAACATTTTACTGGGATAATAAAGTGGATACCCATGTTCTCTCTAATTGTGTGATAATCAAGCAAAAGAGCAACACTGGAAAAAGTGACATGGCCACCATGGAAAATATCACAAATGTGCAGCAAATAACTTGAACTGGTTGACAAAGAAAAGATCATTCTCCCTCCTCAGCATACACAGGTGGTATTAATGAAACAATTTGTGAGAGCACTAAACAAGAATACGGATTGCTTCAAATACATTAGCAGATTCTCCCCTGGACTGAGCATGGAAAAATTAAAAGCTGGCATATTTGATGGACCCTGAATTTGAAAATTGATAAATGATCAAATTTTTGCCAGTTCCAAGACTGATACTGAATCTTCTGCCTAGCATAGCTTTGTGATTGTTTTCAAGACCTTTTTGGACAATCAAAGCAGCAAATTGTGCAGAACTGGAGTAAGACTTGCTTTAAAGCTTTCAAAATTTGTGTACAACTATGAACATTAATATATTGTCTCTTAATAGCCATTTAGACAAATTTCCAGAAAATCTTGGCAATATGAGAGAGGAACTAGGCAAACAGTCTATCAAAACCAATGCCATATTTGGAACCTGTGCATCAAACATACCCTAAAATGGCTTTAAATTGTTTGGCAAGAAAATGTGTGTTGGCCTATCTTACATTATAAATGCTCTCGACTTCATGTATGATATCAATTTTTCACAATACATACTATTTTCTTTCACAGAACCATCAAAATTGGAGTTAAAAAACAAAAAAACATGCAGAACTATGCACCAGACAATCTATAACAAGTCACCATGATGTTGAATAGCTGAATACAAATTACATAATGTGTTACAATGAGCCTCGTGCCTTGTCAATGCACAGTTCACTGTTCTTGCTGCCCTAAATACAATGGAAAAATTAGCATGAGCGAGACACATACTTATCTCATTCCACATAATACTCGGGGCAAGTTCAGCAGAATTTTACCTCTCACAGATCCAGGTAATTTTCAATGATGGGAAAAGTACATTAAAGGAAAAGGAATTGCTCTCGATTACAGATACTTGTCAAATATTGTACTTGATTACAATTACAAATAACATTTTCAGCATGGAATTAATAAAATTACAATTAGAAGTACATGTACAGATCTGTCATTCATGAACAAACTAATCCTCGTTCGGCGTGCTGGGCTGGAGCCACAAAAATTATTTTATACCTTGGATGGAGACCTCTTGTTCAGCCAGGTTTGGGATGATTTTACCTACTCATTTAGCTAGCAATGAGCGAGGTCGTTTGCTAACGAAAATAACTAAATAGGTTTTTCAAAAAAACATGCATGATAACTAAATAGGTTTATCAAAAAAACATTCATGATTACAAGCAATGTAATGATTACTACAAAGTAACGATTGCAATTTTATATTAAGGAGTAAATTACAAGTAAAAAGTATATTCTGCTGAACGGAACATTTACATACCAAAATTACTAACAAAGTAATCATTTCAAGTAATTGAATTACTTTTACTCAATTACTCCCCAACATAGGTAATTTTCATGGTATTTCCATGGTCAGGAATCCATTCTTATTTAGCCTTCATCAAAGTGTCAAAGGTGATAGACAGTACACCCAACGAGTCATCCAGCTCTGCATAGTAGAAAATTTGTCATTTCAACATGTGTACGTGTGTGAGGGGGGAGGAATCCTCTGGAGCAAATATTTTGTCAACTACAGGCTCTTGTAATCAAGTCTCTTCTTGGCAGGAAGAATATGCTCATTATTTATTTATTGGGACAATCAATATTGCCTCTTATTATCAGATTCTCTTACAATGGGGTAACACTACAGGTAATTCTTACTATAAGACACAGAACAATTTTACCTACTTATACTAATTTAATAAACTTGTGTACCAAAATCTATCCATTAATTCCAAAAACTATTATGCAAAGTGCATTTTAAATTAAATAAAACCCTAAAAATAAAAAAAGAAAACGGGTATGAAATGTAAAGACGAGTGCAGAGTAAAGGAGTTTAAAAATCTACGACAGAGCAGTTTATGAGATCTTCAAAAATAACATCTACACAATGTTACAGGAAAGTTGGAAGTACTTCATAACATTAAACAAAATTACAGTTTTGATGGATTTCCCCAAAATGGGAACCCTTAATAAAATGCTCAAGAAGAGAATCACCCACATTCACTCTCTCCCCCTCATCAGCTATTCCATTCAGAACACCAATCATGGTCATATAAATTTAAGTCAATAAAATGAATATATAATATATCAATTCATATAAAAAATAAGAATTTGTTTATTTCCAGACCTAGGCTTTGGCAAAGCTAGGTACTGATTGTGATTTAATGCTTCAACCTGCACAACTGGTTTGCCAACAATCATACAGTTATCTTCACAACATTCAAGTCAGTGCCAACTTAAAAGCATTTGGCATTAAGAGAAATACACACACATATTGTATTGGAAGATTGTGCCCATTTTCTCATTTCTACAAACATATTTACAATAAAAAAGAAGTTTTGACAGTTTCAGTTGATTAATCTGGAAACTGTCGAGTTAGCAATTATTTGAAAAGTCATAACATTATGACTTTTCATCACAGATTTCATCATGATGTTTACAGTTACGTTTATTTATTATCATCATATGACTCGAGAACATCAGCTAAATGTTCATTGTCTCTTGGTTTTTTATGCAATTTCTTTCGTTGATTTGGCTTCTTCCGTTTTGGTGCTAAAGGCTTCTTGGGACCATGGTCTTGCATTGAACGAATACCCTTTTAGAACAAATAACAATTAGTTTGCAATTAAATACAAATCATTATTGAAACAACAAATCCATTATGACAGAATACATTACTTGTCTTTCAAGATATTCTTCTATCTTCTGATCATCCATACAATCTACAGCAACAGATCGCCATAATTTTTGAAACTCTTCATCCACAGGAAGAACCGCTGTTTTATCATTGTAGAATACAATTTTTTTCTTGTCCATGGGACGTACAACATAAATAATCTCATTTTGTAAAGACTAAAAAAAAAAGTGAAGATAAATACAATGAAAATGAAAAGAAAATAAATAAAATTAAATGCAAATTAAAAAACATGCTCTTATCCCCAAATGAAAACATTTCAAAGAAAATTATTTAATGTATAAAAATTTAACCCGAAAGGTGAGACTACAAATTTGCAGCACAAAATCTCTTGGAGATCATTTTAAAAGTTATCTCTAGAGCCAAATATGAGAAGAATATGATACATTGAAAGAATATGAAAAATAAAGGACGAGAAAAACTTATACCAACCTTCAGTGCTTTATCACAATGTGGAAGGGACTCTTGTACATCTTCTAGTAAAATGCCTCCTAAACCCTTCAAATCATGCTGTTTTAACAATCGTAATAAACTTTTTTTGTCTTTAATTTTGTAAGAAGCTTTAAATATAAATTTATTTTCTGGAGTAACTTCTATTTTAGGATTGTTAATAAGAGCTTCAGAGAGGAGCCACTGAAAAGTAAAATAAAGTAATACTTACTACGTCATAAAATTTGTGCTAACAAACATCTTTTTCAGAACAACTAAAAATCGAATTGTTTCAGTCTATCAAACTTTACAGTTCTAGTAGCTGAACGTTCATCCTGTTCACTTTCTTCAGTCATAAAAATATAATGGAAATGTTTTACAAAATTAATTGAAATTAATATTGTTTTTTTTAATTGTTTTAAAGATTTTAAAGTTTGTTTGTATTGAAAATTTCAAAAATATCTGCATTAATGGGACAAGATTGGAGAAAGAATTGGGTCAAGAGAGAGATTTATAACTTCAGGTTATGAGAGATATTAAGCTCATTGTTGGTGTTGGAATTGTTTGAAAAGTGTGGGGGAAAAGAACCCTCCTTCCCTTGGCCAAAGGGGGGATTAGATGGGAACACTATCATTGAGAATTTGACTGATTTTTTTGTCTGTCAATTTGTTCCTGTATCTTTAAAATGGTCACAAGCTCTGAACAAATATAAAATTAGTCAGCAGTACGTTCACATTATGCTAATAATCTTATCTACAAAGAGTAAATGTTGCCACCTAGACTCTATAACACAAAGTAATCAAAAGGTAGGCTATTTTATTTTCTGCAAATATGCCACATATACCTACGAAAAAACTGAATACTAAATTCAATAAGTCACAAAGAGTTCATTGATTAAATACTGAATCATTTAATCAAAATATTTGCAAATAATAAGACTAGAATCTTGGACCATACAATAGACATGAAAATGGGCATACTGCTAGGCATCTTTAACACTGTATTTATTTCTTTTTACTTTCAATGTATATCCTATTTTACAAGTACAAATGAAGCAACAAAAAAAATTAAAAAAACAAAACAAATGGGGTGAAAAATGAAAAAAGTGCATTAATTTAAAAAATGTCAAAACAATGACTAAACAATTGCATGATTTCAGACACAATGAGCATTGTATTGGTAACAATAAAAGACAAAAGTATTGAAGTTACCTGCTTAACTTTTGAACCCACATCCAACTGATTTGTCTCATCCAGGATTTCTTCTAGAGTTAAAGGATGATCATCACCCTCTTGATGACGAGTTTTCATGTGCTTTACAATTTTAGCCAGCACACCAAATTTGTACTGGGAACTCCCAGCCATAGTCTTATAACTGAAACATTATCAATGGTAAATATTGAAACGTCCAAATAAAATATACCAACAATATCCAACAACATATGGAGCAACATACTTAACCATATCAAGTTTAGGTGCTGAATTATTGGAAGTTGGTGGTTTGGGTTTCTTTTTCGAATCATCTTTGAATACATCTGGCTCTTTCTTTTTCTTTTCAACACTGAAATAAAATGTGGGATAAATACTAATGTCAGAACAGCTATTTATCCTATATTCTTAATGGCAATAAATCCAAAATCTAATATTTTTTCACGTATGTCATGAAGAAACAGATCTGGATTTCCACAATGTATATTTCACTTTACTCACGTGGGTGTGGTTAATGCCCGTTTCTTGAAGAGCTCGCGTTCACGAAGAAGAGCAGGATCCATTTTTCCCGGCACGAGGAATCCTACTGGGTTGTCAAATTCTACAGGTGGAGTATTCACAAGCTGTTTGGATATCACAATTCGCGAGATCACTCTGAAACCGTGTCACCCTCTTTACCAGTTACACTCACTGTTGTCACCACCCTAGAGCACACCAACACCAACAACCTGCTCAGAGCTCACCAGCCATCATTTTCACAATCATTTGCAATTGACAGTTGCGGCCCAAAGAATATTATATGCGGGATAGCCTGTGAACGCAACTATAGCGCTCAAGGCGGTAGGTATTTCAACTAAATGGAAACTGTTCATCCTTTGTTCGTGAACTGTGTTCCATAGATTCTGTCATTTTCTTATTATTGCTCCGTATAAATAGAAAGGAATATTAGCACTTATACTTTCAAATTTTCTATGTTTTAAGGATATTTTCAATTTCTTATATTGTCAAATTAATATTATGAATGTTCTATTTCACCTCATTTTATTTACTTGTGAAGTATTAACTATTTTATGATTGAGATACTGCTAAGGTGAGATGAGAAGAATAATGTTATACATCCGTGTCTTTTTCTTAAACATTTCAATCTGGAATAACTAACCCCTCGCAAAAGGTCATCTCAACAATTTAATAAAATAGGTACCATAGATTAACATTCATCAATTTAGGTATTATTATTATTATACCATCTTTGGCATTTCGAACTTAAAGGAAATATTTGGATCACACTGGTCTCTAATTTTGCGTACCTCTGTATTATCATAGCCGACTATTAGTCGGCTATGTCTGTGTATTATAGAGACAGTACATGGAAATCAATGTTAGATCATCACAAAATTACGATCAAAATTGGAACTGAATTACAGTGAAAATTTCTATTTAGTATAGGCAAAATAACTTTTTGTTCCGAAACCAGCAAGGAGAGGTTTTATGGTTTTGTAATTCATGAGCGGATCCAGATACGAATTTTGGGAGGAGAAATTTTTTTATTCAAAATGTTTTGGTCGAATGTGCCATGGTGTCGGATGTCGGACATGTCAGTTTATGTAGAATGATGCAGGTTAAACTCAACTCATGCTGCGATACAATTTTATTCGTTTTAATGTTTGTACGAAAATATTTTTCCTTGTATTTTTCGTGACAAATTAAAATTAATAGTTACTGAAAAATTTCGGAAGGGGAAATTTTTCCTCATTTCCCTTTCCGTGTATCCGCGTCTACAGTAATCGTAGAACCGCCAACGAAATATTTATTTATTTTAATAAATAAACGATGTAATTTTAATTAGTCACAAGAATAATTTCACTTCATCGTCATCAGTATTATTATTATTATTATTATTATTATTATTATTATTATTATTAAAGTAAACAGATTATTTATATTCGAAATGTTCTCTACTTCGATTTTGATTTTAAATAGATTTGGATTAAGATTTATTTAGTAAAAAAAAACAGTAAAAACTATGAAATTATCTTATACAGGATACAGCGCTTGAAATAACGATATCCTTTGCTATGAATTTTGGAAGTTAACCATTTATTATTTTAGCATTTTATTTATTGATGAATTCATGAATTTCGTTGGCGGCTCTACGATTACAAAACCATAAAACTTCCCTTTGCGAGGTTCGGGCCAAAAAATTGCTTTACCAATATCAATTGCATCGTAAGAATGGGTAATATATTTCTTACACCGTGGGATTATTCGGACACAAATCGATTCAGAAAAGAGAGACTTTGAAACATCTCCCGACCATGGACAAAACTTGTTCTATGCTCCTTTCAGTAAACAAGGAAATTCATCTTCATCCATTTTGAATGCCATGTTTGTTGCTTCGGAAGTTAATTATACTAAGTCCAACATTACAAGGAATAAGATCTTGTGAAGGAGGCCCTGATGATACGAGCAGGTTGTGAATTAACGGGAAGGGGAGATGCAGGGTATCGTCCCTCGCTAGACAGACTGATTTCCCCAGCTAGAAAGTTTACACGTCCTTGCTAGAGATCAAACAACGTCAAATATAGGTGTATCATTTTCATTTATAATTTTCACACTTTGAAAGATTAGAAACAAAGAAATTGGAAATGAAAACATCCCCACGAGCATTCTTAGGAGACTGCGCAAGTGTAGTCTTCCTCTCATGTGGCAATTCGAAGAGATGTCGATCGCCACTTGAAATTTTGAACGTCCTCCTCCGGACAATTTTGTCATTTTGCACTATGTCCTCGAGCTTTTACAAGTATATTCACTCTTCCTCAAAATGCGCGGAATTTTACATTTCACATGTGAAACATGACAACTTTTCAACAATTAACTCAAGCCACCTCATTTTACGGCTTGGAAATGGTGGTTTTTATTACAATGAAAAGATGTTACTTCAAGTTCGCAAATGTTCAAATGTACGTCGATGTTTTAAGACTTTTCTGGAATAAGTTTATAGTTGATATATTGTATATTATTTTTCTATCTTATATTATTTGTGATGGATATTTTTGTTAATAAGTATAAAATGAAATCTTTTGGCAATTTCAATTGATAATTTCCCCAAAGCAGGGGAAAATCCAGAAATAATTATTCGGTGATGAGGAGCAACGATTTCAATTGCGGGATTGCTTTCAATTTATTTTAAATAATAACAACAATAATTATGATAATAATAATAATAATAATATATGGAATAATAAATATAAATATGGGAAAATATCAAGAGGGAAGGATTCCGAAGTATATCCGGGATCTTCGGGCCTATTGAAGGTCGCACTTCATGGAACTTCAGTACAGTGACAACTGTTGGCTATAATATATGCAGCTGACGGGAGTGATACCCAAAATGACAGCTGTCGGGCAGCTGAGTGTCTTCACTTTGATACCAAAATGTTAATATAACATATGCAAAAGAACAGTAAAATTTTGAAATACATGCCGTATTGTTTCAGAAGCCATCTGAAACCTTCAGTAAGTAGCAACCACACACCTGGTTCCATCATACCTGTGTGGTAGGTTTGAACATACCGGACCAGTTAGATGCTGTGAATAATGTTAATAATATATAATAATCAATAAATAATAATAAATAATAAGTAATAAAATAATTAATAATAAAATAAATTGCTAGCGTTAAATAAAAATGTATGAGTTTATACATAATGAAAATAATTCTTTGGATGTGATTCGATTTACAAGTTGTCTTGAATAACTTGAATAAAATCACAAAAGAGTGTTAGCTTTGTGATGGGTATATCCCCATGGTCCCCCTGTATCTGCTGCTACTAAGGAGTGACATTTCAATGCATTTTTGGAGCAAAACCGCACAAACAAATATCGCGGGGAAGAGGGCGTTTTTCTCTTGTTTTTTCGGTTACGTGCATCGCAGTAGATAGCGCTGATGCTCGTAGAATGCGGCCTGTCAGGAACGCGTCTCTTCCCGGCGACGGAGTCTGTAATAATCTGTATTTATTCCGCGTTTCTAGTGGTTTGTGAACGTAGAATTATTACTTGTGTCCACTGTGTGCTAACCATAACAAAGTGAAGGGATGTGGGAAAATATTTGCAATTATTATATTTTTTTTGTATTTCCAAACCAACTTTCTTGAAATTAAAGAACACCATTGTGTTACAATGTTGAGTTCTTCGTGATTCATGGAAATATTCTGTAGCAAGATTTTACTGTGGGGCTTTTGTGTTCCTGTTGTCACTTGTGGATTTTCTTCACGTCTTCAGAGCATCTAAAGAGTAAGGTATGATTGCGTTTTATCCCTTATAAACATACAACTTGCAATTGAATCGGATACCTTACCTATGTTAGCCGTAATACCATTAGGTGGAAAGAACCAACGTACCACTTACGGTGTGGAACGAGAATATTGAATCATTTTATTTGTAATGCTCGAGGCCGGTATGAGATGAACAACAGAAATATTTTCTGTTTTGTGTTCGCACATTCTGTTATTTCATAGGATGATTATTTTTTTGAGTTTTTAATGTTTTCACTATCTTTGAAATTACACCAAGTGCAGTATCTTAATGAGTATACATAGTAACATTTAACATAAAATGTGTCATATTGCACATACCATGTTTTTAATCATTTATGTCCTCAAAGGGAGACCATGGGGTATACATCTTATTGTCATTAAGAATAATTTGAGAATTATTGATTTGTAATTTTATTTTATTCTTTAAGTGAGCAAACAAAGAAAATATTTTGAGTTTCATTTTGGGCATAATGAAATTTGTTTGTCAGGTATCTGTAATGATTTTATTACATTTGGCACATCAAAGGTAAATCATAAAATATTGAAAGAATATTGTTGGACACTTTTAGTTTTTGTATTATCTTAAATGGAATGTTTGTAATTTGGTTAAATAAGTTGGTCTGTGTGTGCGCACCAAACTCCTATCACAAAAAAGTCCTCAATAAGTCATGGAAGGGGTGCAATAGTGGAAGCTGGCTTCAGGCATTCTTTCACATGGTGTAGAATTTGGAAAATGTTTGTAAATGAAATTAGAAGTAATAAACATTTTTGTTAAAAAAAATTTCTGAGGTGGCAATTGCATGCTGGTTAGAAAATTATAATCTGTAGCATGCAAGAGATATTTCCATGTTCACTTTCATATTTATACTTGACTTATTCAGGCAAAGCATTAATATTATAGAAGAATGATTTGATGAAAATTGTATTTTTCTGTGCAAATTGATTCAAGACATTTTTGTTTGCATCATTGTTGTTAAAAATTTGCTAATTTGACCACAAGGAACTTTTTCAATTTAATAATTGTTTAACGGTAATTTCAAATTATTTCTTTGTTTATGGACATATTGTTTCAGATGACTAAATATTCAGTTTTATTCTTGATAGTAAAGTAATTCAAGTTAGTAAAAATTCTAATTATTTTAGATTAATATGTCAGATAACAAAAGTTTCAATTAAAAAAAATCGGTTTTCTTACCCTTGTAAGTTTAGTCTATTAGGACTTGTAGATCTATAATAGCTATTGGAAGCTGGATTGGAAAATTTTAAATTTTTTTGCCTGTCTTTTACGTGTGTAAAAAAATTATGATTTTCTTGTAGGACGTACACTTCCATTTTCCCTTCCCAACTTTAGTCCCACTGTATCTGACATACCAGAGTAAAATAATTTACAATTACCTTAATTGGGGTAATAGTATTATTTTTGAACATTAAATAAGCAAACTTATTTGCTATGTCTGATAGTTAATTGTATTCATAGATTTTCCTATAAGTTTAAAAGTAGTCAAAATAAATTTTGTATCGACTTTAGTGTGACGCAATTTCTGTGGAGGGGGTAGGCGAGCGTCTCGATCGTGCGCTTTTCTTGTGTGAATAGAGCTGCAGCGCCTTACGAATTCTAATGGCACTGCTCGCATCGTTCATATTAGACCTGCCGCTTGCCAATAGAATTGCTGCTGCTTGGGGAACCATATGAGCAATATCGAAGGTAGAGCAGTTTTTAAGAACTGTGCCGTAGAGCTTACGCCTGGCCCCTTCACACGGTTTTTGCAATGGCTCAAATACAGGGCCGGATTTACGTACAAGCAAATCAAGCAGTTGCTTGGGGGCCCCAATTCACCAGGGGTTTCGGAAAAATACGCATACCATATTTTTTTGTCTGTGAAATAATTGTTAATCAAGTAGTTTATTGTGTAACAAAATGCACAATTTCAATATCCTGAGTATGGAGCATGATAAGCTGAGAAATCTTAGTTTTGAAGACATCATCGACCAATTTCCTGCTGTGAAGAGCAGAAAAAAATTATGTAAAGTGTATTTAATGTCAAAAAATGTAACACAAGTAAAAATTTCTATAAAAAATTATCAGTTTTCATTTGTATCTGTACAGAAAGTACTTGTAACTATAATACATTTTTTAATTGTAATCAAAATGGAGCCATAATTCTTTTCGGGGGGGGGGGGGCAACACAATTTTGTGCTTGGGCCCCCGCACTACTTAAATCCGGCCCTGCTCAAATATCGTGTTGCGTTGCATTTCCAAAGTCATTCATAATTTAAGTGTTGTGAATATAATTTGAGTGCGCCTAGTGTTGTCTTCTGCTTCGTCACTGGACTCCCCCTCGTATTAAATGATATGCGAGTTTGGATAATAAGATTATTGAAGATAAATGTATTTAACTGTATTTCCTTTACTACTAGAATCTCGCTTCATTTGTCTTCACTCGTGTATTTCATCTCGTGGCTCTTCTATCATTTAAACATTCTGAGAGAATTCAAGGTGCATTGAATTATTTAAAAGCGATTCCGTGACCGTATTTACAAATCTACTTTTCAATTGAAGGATGTTGGGACATCACATTGACGTATTCTTACATTGTCTTTGTATATTTAATTTTATTTCAGATTCGTGTTATTTTGATATTTGTCTAGTAATGTGAAAAGGTTTCAAATTAATTAAATCTTTCTCTCTCTTCAAGAATGACAATATCTAACAACTTAATGTCGTTATTGCGTCTGTTTTCCAAGGGCATGGCAATTCTCATACTATTGACACGAGAAAAGTGACCCACAAAAATGAACCTACATTTATTTGCGTGTAGGGCGAGAGAATCAAATGCCACTGTTAACTGAAAATAGTGAATTTCAATTGTTTCAAACTCGACGTACTTACTTGTTTTACTTTTTGCTTAATAAACAGTTGAGTCGAGTGATGTAAAAAAGTTCGTGTAATCCTGCATCTCGGTTACTAAAGCAATGTCGATTACATTAATTATTCAATTATTCAACTCTTCCATTTCCAAATCTCGCGTAAATAGTGTTTGCAAGAAATATACAAGCAGCTGTGTAATGTCACCATAGCTGAGACCTTTTTTTAACATTATTTTTATAAAATGTATATTTCTTCCTTCTTCGGAGCCCTCTTTTCCACATTAGCCAATGTCACGAGAAGCCGAAGGCTGCTCCGTGCAAGGATCGAGAGGGAAGTCGCCAAAAATCTGGAGAACTCGTGAACTCGCTCTACCCACTAAATGTAAGTTGGGGGGGGGGGGGGATTGCGCCCACTGCCGGAGCCAACGACGTCTTTCCACGGCGGCGCCTGCTGCGTTGGTGCCTGACCGGCCGCTGCCCCGGCCCGTTGCGCCTCGGCGCCGGGTGCTGTTGAATTCCCGCGCGCAAACGCAGGAGGACGCCGCGGCTCAGCTTTCCGTGCGGAGCGATGCGCTTTACGCCGCGTGCGGGGGGGGGGGGGGTGCTGGAACGCGCAATGGCCGAAATCACCTAAGGCGGAGAAGCAGGCCGCTGGAGGCCCCGAAGAAACAGAACTGGAAAGGGCGAGGCCGCACACTGAAATAAGACGGCGTCCGGTCGTTTTGTCACTGCTCGTTTTATATTTTTTTTGTTATTTAAGGTCGTAATCAACTTCTAGGTCATTAGCGACCACTAGTGCTTGTAACGGTATGGGTAGACTGTGAGGTGAACACATAATGATGATGATGATAAGGGGTGCAAAGGATTGAAACACAATAAACCAATGACGCGAGGCGGGACTCGAACTCGCGATACTTCGGTCCGAGATCGCTACGGCACTACTGCCTTAGCGATCTCGGCCACCGGATTGGCTCGTTAATAATGTCAAAGCTTCATTTGGCCAGAAATGTGTTTATGGAATTTAAGAACCGTTTAGTCGTCAAATATTACCATCTTCCTAATGGTGGCTTGGGCTCGTAGTCTTCGGTCAATGAAGTCAATGTCTTTGCCTTTGCAGAGCAGCCGCCGAACTTTCTTCCAATTTCGGAAAGAGAAAGGCAGTGACTTACCAACGCAGAGACGACGGAAGGAATTAGTTCCGAAGATTTATTTTTTTCTGGAGAGAGGAGCATCTGTGCGAAGTATTTGGGAGTGGTAGCAACTATTCGAAGACTGAGGTCAATCTGTTCCTGACGCGTTATCGGGGACAAACATTGAGCCCCCATCAATGCATTTGCGATTTTTTTTAGACTTTTTCCGTCATTCCATTTTTCGGTATCAAGGACCCACGAAAAATGAATTCTGGCTACACCACGAGTTAGTGAATATTTTTTTCTAAATTTAGCAACTGGATTTATCCATTTTTCTGTTATTAGGGTCCTTTAATAAGAGTTTTTCTTTTGAAAATTCGCCGTTGTTTTTGCGCAACATTACGTAACTTTTTCTCTACTCCCTAGCGAGAAAGTAAAAGGTAGAATGTCAGGCAGAAAACTCTTATTACCAGGGCCCTGGTAACGAAAAGTGGATAAAGCCTGTTGCTAAATTCAAAAAAAATATCCTCTAACCTGTAATGTAGCTAGAATTCATGTTTTGTGGGTCTTTGATATCGAAAAAACCATTGACGGCAAATCGTCTGTCTGTGCGTCTGTGAACAAGGCTAGCGTCGAAACCGTTCAGACGATTCTCTCCTAAATTGATATTCCTCAATCGATCTGGCTGATATCAGGGCCTCTTGTATTTGAAACCGTTCTTTTAAATTTGGAGGGGTACTTTGCACGAAGCCCTGGGGCATTTTCAAAAAAATGTCTCCAACATATTTGATGAAACTTTGTTATTGGATAGTGCGAAGGATGTTTAAACGAATGGTGCAATTTCATTTTCGTTAAAAATTCTAATTTTTCAAAAATGCAAAAATTCAAAAATTTTTCGGCGTCTTCCTACAACCAAAATATTACAGTTAGAGATTTCCCCTCAATTAAATCTGTTCCTCGAAAGCATATTTTTGAAATAAAGAC